TGTCATCTGCAAACTTACTGAGGGAGCATTTCTGGTTGAACTTATTTTCAGGTAGTGACCCATCTGTTTGGGTTCACTCAGGGGTAGCTTTGTCACGATGACTCAGACTGCCAAAAAAACCACCTGGTGGCATGAGAACGGGGCACCACGCTGACGCATAGCCAAAGAGGAGATGATGAGGCCATGACACCGGATGGACGGTGCTCCCCAAGTAACATGCAAGGCATGTGGGGAGAGGGCAGCTTTGGGGCTGGCACCGAAGAAAGACACTTGTTTGAACTCCTGTCCACTCTGATGTTGAGAGACTTCCTTGTTTCAGAGGTCTGGAAGGGTGTCACGTGTGGAGAACAGGAATAGCTGCCTCTTCACGAGGCTGGCAGTCCCTGTGAGCTCGTGCGGTGGGAAGGGGCTAAAAGATGGAGGAGCTTGACTCTTCCTGGGTTGCCCTGTCCAGTTGACATCGGCTGGTTGAAGATGCAGCCACAGCTCCAAGTCTGAGTGTGATATTCCGTCCCCACAGTTCTTGGATCAGAATATTTTGCAAAATAGATACGTATATGTATTTTTATGTTACATCTATACTGTATATGCATATAAATACGTATGCCATATAGATTTTTTTATCATTATATATTTAGATTTTGTGCTATAAATTTTATTTCTAATTTTTTCCTGCCACTGGGCCTTTCAGCAGATATGCGACTTTAATATTAATCTTGCATGTGGACGTTTACAGTGGCCTTGATGTTTGTTCTTATCATCAGTGCACTGAATCTCCAAGAAAGAGCATTTTGGGGATACTGGTGCTCGTGAAAGGGCGATGACTGGGTAAGGTCAATGTGAGGAGAGGAGTGAAAACAGGAGAAGGGAAGGGACCAGAAATTCTTTGAACCTGCAAATAAAAGGTTGAGAGAGATGGAGGTTGGTGGTTACCCTGTGTCCATCCTCTTAACGGCTCAGCTGCTCTGGGAGAAGAGCGATTGAAAGCCAAGGCTCCAGCAGGTTTCCACCAAATCAATAGTCCCAGGGCCTTTGAAATAGAAGATGTTGCTTCCAAGTGAGTGAAAGCTGATCTCGTGAGCTGTGTAGCAAGGATGGCTCCTTTGCAAACTGCCTTCCATGGAAAACTGCACGCTTTTCCCTTTTCTAAAGCATTCGGGAGATTTTTGTGGTGGGTTTCTTTGGGAGGCTGACCTTCTTGCCCACCGTACCCCCCTCCTCCTGAGCCAAGAGCCAAGATCCTTGTGGCTTCTGTGGCTCCCTGTGCTATTTTTCTTCTTATAAAACTGGAGGACAGGGTGTTCTTAGCAGCTCATTCTCATCTTCTCAACATTAATCCTTTTTTTTGAAAAAGTAAAAAGTCCAGGTGACTTCTGGATATATTTTTTTTCTACTTTTGAAATGAGATTGGGATTAGACATGGGGTATTTTTCTATTAACTATCATGAGCTTAATATTAAAAATTACTGCTTGTAAGGTTAATAGAAATTACTTTACAGCTTTACATCATGAAAATAGTCCTCACAATTACCACATTTGGCAGAAACACCAAAGCAAGGAGAGGACTTGGGCATGTTGAAGAAGGAGGAGAAGCCTGCAGGGTTCATTTTCCAGGTGGACAACCAGATGACCCAAAATTTAAGCTTTAGGTTTTGTACCTCGGCAGCTTGTTTTGGTACATCAGCACATTTAATGCAAATTAATCCCCCCTGCGCTCTCAAACTCCCACAAATCCTCTGCCTTATGAAGCACAACAGGAGTGGGAATGGAAAATGAATTTAAATTCTCCTGCGGCGTTAGGTCAAAGTCTTGCATTAGCTAATTGTAGCCACCTGATTGTTCTATATTTAAACATTTATGGCAGTGATAACATCATCAAACACCAAATAAAGAAACCACTGCCTTCTGCTTCCTTATAGTGATTTCCTTTCCTGTACTTACTCTGAAGCTGTGCAGGTACGTACAGGAAAGCAGGTTACTTCCCCAGCCTCTCCATCATGTGCCCAGGCATCCCTGAAAAAACAGTAATTAATAAAAGGAATTGCCTTTTTAATGAAGGACACAGCAATTAGGTAGTCAGAATCTGTGGTATTAAATTTATAATACCAGAAGGGGACACATTGGGATTTATTTGTACTATCTATTTGTACTATCTATTTGTACACTTTATTATAAAATATTGGAGTTTATTCATCTAAGCCTCCACCAGGTTGTTGTGTTTGTTTTTAACACTGATGTCTAGTACACATTAACATTAGGAAAATAGGAATTTATGTTTCAAGTAAGTTCAGACTGCTAAAATACCTTTTTTTTTTTTAATGTTTCATGTCCAAGTCGACCAACAAGTGTTCGAATTTGCTACTGGAGCTACTTTCTTGGTTCTACTGTTCATTATTATTTGTCTATGGGCAGCCTGACCTGAAAAAATACAGACTAAAAGGAAACAAATCTGATCTGTAATATCTAATAGGGATTTGCACGGACGTTTCTTTGAAATAATTTGTGTGGCAGTTGATTGCGCTTGTCCATCACCAGAGGGACGGGTCTGATGGGAGACCGTGCAGTTGGGATTGCCATCAAAAGCAAGAGGGATAAGTTCTCCAGAAGTATATGCTTAGTGATGTTAAACCTTAATTTTTTCGCAAGTTTTGGTAAATTCTGCTCAGCCCAGATTTTACCTTAACTTTCTTCATGCTTCATTCCCTGTGTGTCACCTCACTTCCCGCCCTGCTCCGCTGGAACAGCCTGGTTTGATTTAGATGGGATAATGTCAAATAATTGAGTTCAAACAGTTGAACTAAAGTCCATATGCCATTTGTTCAAACTGAAACCAAAAAAACCCCAAACCCTAACCCCAAACCAAAAATTTTTTTTATCGCTTTCATAAATGCAGAATTTCTTTCTGCTTTGAGCTGTGGTCAAACCGTGTCGCACCAGTTCAATAAATAACTAGGCAGCTCTACTGAATAGATGAGGAAAACTGTTTTTCTTCATTTTATGTGGATCGTTTAGGTCTTTGTACCCTGTCTCCCTGAAGATTAAATAGCAAGCACAGGCTCCATGCAAAGATAATAATTGCGAGTCTCGGTGTGAAATGCAGAGTAGCGCCTTTGGAGAAAGAAAAGTTTCATGTGGGCTTGGAAATGCTTGTGGCTGCGGGGAAAATAAGAAGCCACAAATCTGGGGACCAAAACCCCAAGTGGTTTTAAAACAGATAGAGGAATACCTGCATACTTATATACATATTGAAGAATTTAGATGAAAGCTTTGGCCATAGACAGGTTGTCTCTCATTTATTATTTCCAACGCCACAACGCTTCGTGGTGGCATTGGAAATCTCTTTGCCAGCTGAGAATCAGCCTTTTGGGTTTGATTTTCTTAAGCTGTAGGTGTCTTTGTGGACATCAGAGTACCAGTTTGATTTCTGACAAAGACAGGGTGCTGAGGATACCGTCCCTCCTTGCGTTTTCCCGGCGACCTGAACCATTACGTGAACAAAGCAAACGCAGAGGAGACTGTTCAAGGTTCTGGTATGCAGCCTGGGAAGAGTGTGGAAGGTGCCACGTCTCACCAGCCCGCGTTTCCATTACCAAGAGAATATAAAAATAGATGCTACATTAAATAAATTGCGATCGCATGAAGGTTGTCTCCTAACCTAAAAGGCAAGCTGGGTTTCTGATGGGAAGCCATTTGTCTGCTGGCTGAAGCCAAATTCCCCCAAGAAAACCAAAATAGAAGTCGCCAAATGGCACCTCTTGCTATAAAGGGGGAAAAGCATTTAACTGGCAATGTTATTGTGAGCAGCTGCCGGGGGAATTTAGCAAACTAAGAGGCCTGGTAGGTCAATGACAGGGGTCCTTCCTCGTTTGGTGGTGGCTAAGAGGGGATGGCCGAGATGGAAAGGGTGGCTGCGTTCCAGTTGTCTTTGGGATGGGTACCGGTCCCTCAGCGCAGCCTGGGGCCGGCTCAGGGTTCAGAAGTTACCAGGGTTACGCCGGCAAGCAAGCAAACAACTCCCTTCAACCTCATCTCGTGAAATCGGGCTAAAAATAGGTCGCTGAGGCTTAAGGTTAAAAGTAAAGACGTGACCGAGCAGTGCTGTTGAAAAGCCAGCTCTCCTCATCCCCTACAAACATCCAAGGACTGCGCGTCCCTGCCAGCGCCGGCGCGTTTGTTATATGTTACTAGCTATAGAAAGAGGCTGTGTGAAAGTTGTATGTTAGCTGGGAACATCTTCTGACCTGAGAGCAGCGCTGACGGTTGGGTTTTCCCTAAGGCACATAGAGTTTTAGAAACGGCTCTTCAATTATTTAGCAATAGGCCAAATATTGAGAAATGTGGTTCATACCGAAGTGAAGCTGATGACTGAAGAAGCGAGGGGAATTATGTGAAGGTATTTGAAGTATTTGAAGGTAGGACTATTTGAAGGTAGGACTATTTGAAGGTAGGACTATTTAAAGTTAGGGTGGCGGGTTTACTGTCACAGCTTGTTTGGGGGATGTGCCCTGCTTCTAACCAGCGCGTTTGCCTGCTTTACCCAAGGTCCAGTTGAAAAGCGAAGAATCGAAAACATTTGCCATGAAAATACTGAAGAAACGTCACATAGTGGACACGAGGCAGCAGGAGCACATCCGCTCAGAGAAGCAGATCATGCAGAGCGCGCACTCGGACTTCATCGTCAGGTACCGTCCCTCCGGGCCCGGGGGAGCGAAGCACAGCCGATGCCGGCATGTCATAAAAGCACATAGGAATAATCCATCCATCCCCAGCAAACCCTTCAGCCGTAGCTTCCCAGCAAGATACGGTGCATGGAATAAGGTCTCCTCCAGGCGAACGTGAGATGACTCTGCCCATGGGGGACACCCACCCAAGCCTGAGCTTAAGCCATGTCTTGGTTTGCGGTGGCCCCATGCTCTGCTCCCGTGGCTTTGTGGCTCCTGGAGCAAGCACACCCTTAGCCTGCAGCCTGGACAGAGCTTGCCGATGCCGGCGGGCGATGCTCCGTGTAAGACATACGCAGCGTGACTCGGCGTTGCCCCTGCTCAGGGTTAATATTCCTCTTTTTTCTCAATTTCTGATTTTTCCTTCCCGCAAAGTGAAGCTTTGAAGGGTTTAATCTTTCGAGAGCACACGCCGCCATGTTGTATCCAGTGCTTCTCTCTAGGGCCTGTTAGATAGACCTGGCTCCGTGTCCCTTGACGCATCATGGGCAAATGCCTAGACCATACCGCTCCCCAAAACCTAAGCAGATGCAATTCTTTGGTGAATAAAAAAGGCATTTTTGTTTCTTTTAACCCCAACAGCGAAATTCTCTGACTCATCGAGGACTGTGAGTATCTGTCGCAGGAAACCGAGGTGGTTCTGTCTATGGTTTAGGTCAGGGCAAGGGCGATGGGCGGGCGATGGCAGGGCAATGCGTTTCACCCAGCTGGAGGTGCCTATAAGGGCAGCCTCTCGTCTAAGCCAAGGGTGCTTCGTCCCACCCTCAAAGAGATGCCTGAAGCACTTGCCTCTTGCCGGAGGAGATCGACCCAGCTCCCAAAAATTGCTCCGGAGACACATACTAACCCAGGGGCGAAACCAAACGCCTGCGATAGACGCGAAGGCGACGGCACGGCTCCACCCATCAGTCGCTGAGGGGGGGTTCCCTTCCCGGGCTGATCCCTGGGATTCCCCCGGAGCCCGCGGCTGCGCCTCTGATTCATGGGTGACAACTGCGGTGACACCCTAGCCGGCTGCGGTTCCCTTCACGCTGTGCTGCTCGGTTCACAAACGTGCCCCCGTTACCCAGGCTGGAGCCAAACATCCCGTGCAGGCTGTTTCAGCCTATAGGTTTATTTTCTGAAGCCTGAGCTGCCTCGGGATGGGGATGCAAAGGGAGGTGCCGTGCGGGGCCAGCCGAGCGGAGGGACATTTTGACACCGTATCCAGAAACACCCCCCCCCCAAATAAAAATCCTGAGCCCGCAAGCATGGAGCCGCTGATATCCATAGCTAATAAAATAAATACTTCTTCCTTCCCACTTTTTATTCTTTCAGTAGGCAGCTGAAAAAAGGATGCGTTAGCCGTAGGTCTTCTCCTTCCATGTCATGCAGTAATTCCCATCCTTTACAGTCGCAAGCCTCCCTTGACTATTTTTAATACCCCGTGGAAATCCTGCACTGGGAAGGGACTTTCTAAGCCATAAAGCCCAACCTTTTGCTGTTGCCTGTGCCGCAGCTAGAAAATCCTCTCTGGTTTATCATACTCTGTTGCCTGCATTTCCCCCTCACTTCTCCTTTTGCACATCCACGGGGATTTGAAGTTGTTATAGTTTCTATCCTAAAATTATTCATAATCTGTTTATACCCTTTCTTGGGTCAGCTGGGATAATATTTTCCTGGGTGCTATGGGCAGAAATCTTAGCGCTTCGGTAGATTAATGGCGTTTTGGATGCCGGGTGAAATGTGGGTTTAAAGTTATATTGGAGCAAGGACACACAACCTCTGGGATGTCAGAACGGGAAAGACAAAACCCCCGAAGAACCCGGCTATTTTCTTAATTCCTCATGAAACTGTTCATTAAAAATCAGTGAAGGATGGCTCCATTTGGTTATTAAAATGCATTAAACTGGGCAAAAGAACCAGAAGAGGCCAGGTATCACTAAATAAAACTTACTCGTAGATAAACTAAGAATTTGACAGAACAAAGCGTTCTGTGTGGGTTTGGTAAAGGGTCAAACAAGTGTTGAGCTGTGGGTGTCTGCACTGGATCTGCAAATATTTGGATGAATAAGAAAATGAATAAAAAATGAATTAAAATACCGTGACATTTCAAACTTAGGACTCCTTGGTCTACTGAAATACTGCGGTTTCATCATGTATAAACTTTATGCTTCCATTACAGTTGCTAAACAATATTTGATCATTTTTTTTTTCTGCACGTTTTAGGCCAGATTTGATGCCCATACATTTTCTGGAAAGCAGTTTTTCGGCAGGACTACCTTAACTAGAGAAAGTAATGCCTTATTTCAGTAGCATTTAAATTAACGAGCAATTACAAATACTTAGTTACTCATATTTTGGATTCTTGAATATGTAGGTTTTCTGTAAACCTTAATGTAGATGAAATGTTTATTAGAATACATTATGTTTTGTCCAACTGGCAAGACATGGGATGAATTTTTTAAACCCATAAATTTTAGCCATATGAAATGGTCAGCAAGTTTGTTCTAACTTTTTCTGAGAAGCAGGTTATAACTGAGGTTTTAAATGTCTACATAGGTAACACTAGAGTAAGGGGAGATCTAAAACAAGGGTTCATTTTTTTTCCTTTAATTTTTTTTGTGGCTGCAAATAGTACCTTTTGGCTACAGAGTATTTCCCAGGTACTTCAGCACCGAGCATATTCAGTACCCAAACTCCTGCCTACATCGCAGCTGTACCTGCTGGGATCTTATTCTGTTAAACATGCCAAAAATATAGCGGGTAACTGCTGCTAAGCTGTGTGCGGGATGCTACACAAACACAGATAGCAGACAAATGTTGTCTAGCATCGTGATGTGAAAGCGTGTTGGAGCCAAGCTGTAGCTGCCAGGATGTTTTGCCATGTACCTTAAGTTAATATTTAACTGGATGCCTTTGAAAGGAACCAAATCCTGCAGTGTTTTCCCCCTGGTCCATCACACAGCTCTATAAAAGATATTAATAACTGGATTTATCACTAGCTGGGAAGAGCTAGAATCTGCAAAACCACCTGTTTTAATTTATATCGTGTTGCATCAGCCCTTTAATTTTCAACTCTTGGGCATTCCCATGAATGGAGCAATTACACCAGAACAGAATGTCCCTCAGCATCCCCTCCTACTGCAGAGCTCAGGTTTTTAAAATTAATTTCTAAACAGTGCAGCTGCAAAGAAACCTTTCTAGTACCCACATACAGCAGGCTCGTTCCTGGAGGCCACCTGAACCGATGTACCCACCCATGCAACGAGAAGTACAAAAGTAGTTCAACATTAAAATTAAATAAAATAGCTAATATTGAAGTTCCTGTATTTAATTCCACAGTTTCGTAGTTGCATTTGTTTAATATATCATATTAAGCAGCGCATGGATTCTACTGCACAATTTAGACGGCATTTGAGAAGGAGGACAGGTTCATAAAGCCTGGCCCATCTATCCCTTTTAGTCAAATTTTCCTCCACGTTCAGTCCCTGGGAGGAAGAGGAGGAGCAGTTTTAGATGCTTACATGTCAGCGGGTTGTCTTTAAACTCTCTAAATCAGTGGGTGTAAGTTCTGAAATGAAGCTCAAATTGGGCGACACTCCTTTGAGATGGTTAAATGGAAGGCAGACTGCAGGTCTGCAGCCGGACTCTGTAGCATGATGAATAAGATGATATGGATGTCTTAAAAAATGGTTGGGAAAATTCTCTTTCAAGCACATCTGGGAAGCCAAGTGTCAGGTTATGCCATTAGAAATGGCAGATTTTATGTTTAGTACCCAGAGTAGTGATGACCTCTTCTTCTGAGGTCGATGATACACTTCACCACTCCAATGCCCATCTGCTGAAATATCTCCCACCCGAGAAGAGACATTGAAGTGATCCTTAAATGTAGCGCTAGCTCTGAAAGATACCCTCAGTCTTGTGGTGCTTCCTGGGATGAAGCACACGGTCCGTGAGAAGTGGGAACGCATGGTGCCTTTGCTTGCATGGTGGATTTATTTATGATTTTGTTCACCAACGACAGGCTCTACAGAACGTTCAAGGACAGCAAATACCTGTACATGCTGATGGAAGCCTGTCTAGGTGGAGAGCTCTGGACGATTCTCAGGGACAGGTAAGTTTTAAGAAACTATTATCTTAAAAAGTGGAATATTTTCTAATATGCCTCCAGATAACCAAAGGTCTTTAACTTTCATGGGCAAAATCTGGATCCTACCATGCAATCTTTAATTTAAGAACCCAGAAAGGTGAGGAGATATTTTTGTTCCTATGCAGTTGACTAGAGACAAAGTGAATCCAGTCTTAACTGGAGAATAAAGACCAATGCAGGTTGTGTCCAACACGTACGAGACTTTATGTAAGTGGAAATTTATCTGGAGCTACTTCCTTATGGCCTCTCTGGAAAAATAAAGAAGGTAGTGATGGTAGCCATGGCAGTCATGTGATAAATTGCATCTACGACAAGTCTTTGACTGCCCTTTCCCCGTGTCTTGATCTCTAAAGGGTACCCCTACATAGCCGGCGGCATATGTTAATTTTATTTTAATTAATTAATTTAATTTAATTTTAATTACCTAGAACAACCACAGAAATTATGGCTGTGTCCTTGGTGCCCGTGCTACCGTTTCTCATGTTCGAGAGCCTGGCTGGAGGCTCAGGCACCTGGTAGAGAACTGGGGGCCTGTCTTAAGGGTGACAAAGACTTTGGGCACCACACGTGACGGCACAGAATGACCCTGCGGGGTGCGGCCAGCCATTGCAGGAGGTGCAGTGTCAAGGCCAGTCATGCTGCAGGCTTGCAAGACACACTCTGGAGATTGGGTCCTTCCAGTATGGCACCTTTAGGCATTGCTGCTGTGGCTCTTTTAGACTCTGGACTTGCAAACAGTCAGTGGAGTTAGTGAGAGTTCACGGTTGCGAACAAAATCCATGGGAAAGTGCATTTTCAAGGTAAAAAATGCAGACTTCTTCAAAGTCTTCTGAAAAACCACAATTTCCCATCCCAGAGGAAGACCTGCTGTTTTCATCTCAGTGTTTGCTCCTCTGCCCGCCTTCTGCCACTGTGAATAGCAGCAACCAACTCTATCATGGAGGAAATGTGATAAATAATGTCTATTAATATTTCTTAATATTTATGACAGTCGGGTACGATAGCGATGACCGGGAGGAAATGAATAGTTCTGCATGGGCTTTTAGTCCAGATATCACATGTTAAACAAGGGCTGCTCATCAAAGTGGGAAACGGGATCATACATCAAACCCACACCCTGCAAGGAGCGCTACACGGTCGGGACACAGAAGTGCCATGGAACAAAATAGTTCTGGAAGCATGTAATTACATACCTCGCCATAACGCACAAGCAAATGTGGTCCTGGTATTTCCTGCCTTGGGAGGGATTGACCTTGCAGCGTTCGGTTCTGGTTGTGGGTGGCGGGTGGGTCGCGCAGGTGTACGTGGGACGTGCGCGTAATACGCCCACGGGGCAGGAGAAGATGCGGTGAATCACGGGTAACGATGTAACAGGCTCATAATCGGAACATCGTTTAATTAAATTTGGAAAGCGAAAGAAACGCATCGGAAAGATTGATTGGAAAGCAAAGATTAAATTCTTTTTTAATTACCTAGAACGATTTTTTGAGGTAATTCTTCCTTTTCCTAACAGCGCGCCTCCTCCGGGCCGTTAAAAGGAGAACTGTGGCAAAGTTAGGAGGTGCCAGGTTGTATTTTCCGTCATCTTTCTCACAGGCTGCTAATTTCATCTTTAATTCTCGGCTTTAAATTGTGGTTCTGCTGCCACCTAGCTTAGACACGCTTCTGAGCTCAGCCAGAGCGCAGGGGGATATGGTTTGCTTCGGCAAACTGGTTGCAAAACTGGTGCTGAAACGAGGATCCAAAAGTGTGGTTTATGCAGAATTCGCAATTAACGCTTCAAGTCCCAGCAACTGTAATTTTTCTGCCTTTTGTCTCGGTTATGAACACTAGTACAGGAGTTCTTGATCTCCACGGCTCAAAATAGCTTTATCACCCTAAAGTCAAAGAATGTAATTTAAAAAATCACCTTTTCCTTAGAAGGTAATGATTTTTAGATTTGGTTTGTATGAGATGAATTTATAAAATAAAACCTAAAATGTTTTAGATATGAATGTTCGATATGAGGGTGGACTGAAGGCGGGTGGATTGAAGGCAAAGATGCTAACTTCAAAAATGGAAATGCAATTAAATTTCTATATGTAAAGGTGACTTCAGCAACAGGCACTTTCCAGGTATTAGAGTGATTCTACTGAACTGTACAGGTAATTTAACAGTAGGGTGAAGTCCAGTAAGGGAAGAGATCTAACCGCTTTATCCCCTTTCCCTCTCTCGTTTTACGCAGAGGTTCGTTTGAGGATTCGACGACCAGGTTTTACACAGCGTGCGTGGTCGAAGCTTTTGCCTATTTGCATTCCAAAGGGATCATCTATAGGGACCTCAAGCCAGAAAACCTCATTCTGGATCATCGAGGTTATGCCAAACTGGTGAGTGCCTGCAACGTCTGGTTTGGCCAAAAAAAGAAGTCGCCACTACTATCAGACAACTAGCGTTAGGGGTGGAGGAGAGCACAGGATTAGCCATAGAGGGTCAGAAGCAAAGTCCATCCAGCCCAGGGTCCCGTCTCTGATGGTGGCCATCATCAAATCATAAAACAGTCTGGGTTGGAAGGGACCTTTAAAGGCCATCCAGTCCAACCCCCTGCCATGAGCAGGGCCAGGGATGGGGCATCTACCACCTCTCTGATGGTGATCAGTAGATGCTGAGAGGAGATCAGGGCAAGAGTGTTGTCACCCATCACTGGGATGTTTTCCTAACCTCCAAGTAGACTGAGGCTCAGTGTACAGCTGAGCTGGGAAACACTAATTCTGGCTTGAAATTCAGCTTTTTGGTCCTGAAGTGGAAATGTTTAGAGAATAGCATCAAGTGAAATCCATCCAGCTGTTTTGGAGCTACCGAAAGACTGAAAAATAAGTTCAAAATAGATGTCTCAGTATATTGGTGGGAGAGAGGAAGGACTTGCATCTGTGGGCTCTATAGGCGATTGGTGAAGCAAATTTTGCAAGCTATTGTTTCTGTATCAGGTCCTTCATATAAGCAATAAAAAAAGGCCTTCTTAATGGAAATACTAATCATGATCCTGTCATGGCAAGAAATTATTACTATTCATGACTCTGGACTGTGTTGCTGAACTTGGCAAACAGAGCTTCTTGCTTTATAAGGGCCACTTGTGTTTTAGCACCAGCACCACACCGATCTGTGCTACTCCTCTGGGACGACTGCATGAGGCTCTGCCTGAAACTGCTCTTCCCAGAAGGTCATGGTCCTTCTCGGTGCTGTCCCCTGCAAGATCCACCTCCTCAAACCAGGAGGGCAGCGTGTGCAAGACCAAATTAGGGAGTTACCGATGGGTTTCACTGTATTGCTTTGTTCACTCAGATTACTTTTTTGCCTCAGAAATCACTGTAGAGGAACCCCACATGTAAGGTACACCCCAAGTGCCAGGTGAGACCATGGAGAGGGGGAGAAGAAAAGAAAGACTTCCTTGGTGGGAGGTGCTTGGAGGATGTGGACACTTGGGAAGCCACCAGTGAAGGGTGGGGCAATGCACCCCTAATAAGAGCTGTGTCCAAGAGGGGCCAGTGCCCTCCCTGAATGTCACGGGGCGGGGGGCAAGGTCTCTGCCTCTTGGCTTGGGGACTTTTCCCTGCCTTTGGGAAGGGAAACGCGGGAGCAGCATCAGCAGGTGGGAGGAATAAGTCAGGTGAGAGCAGTAAGTCAGAGCATCACCATCATGGACCTTTATGGCCTGGTGGCAATCACTGTGTGTCACCGTGACACTAAGGCTAATGAGTGACATCGGAGTTTATCCTCTACAGCATTTCGCTAAGGCTGGAGGATCCAGCGAGGTGTCGGCTGATTGAGGAGGATTAGGTGCAGGACTGTCCTTCTCCCCACCCCAGGAGGATCTGGGCCAGAGTTTGTGCTGTTCCCGTCACCAACCCCCAGCTCCTTAGACATTTTGCTCTTCATGGACACATCCATGATAGCATGGGAAGTGTCCCAGATCCCTTCTGGGACTGTGACCGTGTAGGACATTTTGCTCCTGACCAGCTCAAGGTGTAGGCGCATCTCGCAGCCATCAAGCGACAGCAGAGTGTGCTACAGACCACAGCTCTGGGCCAGCACAGCACCGGGCAGGGGAGGGCAGAGGGGGTAGAGCTAAAAATACAGTAAGCTTATTAACTCTATTATTGAGCTCTGCCTGCGTCCCAAAGGGGACTGTGGTTCCCAATATAATCTGATTTTCCCTGCTTGCCAGTGCCATAGGGGCACTGCTATAGGGGCACGCTGTGGTTTATGAGCCTGCCAGCACGTTGTTAACAGCCTCACGTAAATTGGGAGAATTGGGAGGACTGTTGTACTGCATCACTCTCTATACTGGGAGAGAAATCTGAACTTTTCAGTAGATGCCAAAATGGTCAGTATTTAGCCTGAGTAGTTCCTTGTTCAGGTAAAGGCTGGGAGTTCAAAAAAAAAAGCAAAAGCAAAACAAAACAAACCGGAGCTGTGAATGATACGAAATTACACCTCCCAAGAAACCCTCAGTGTTGGCATTTGTTCTTCTTCCCCCACCCCGTAAATCTTCCTTTTATATTACGAAGGGTAAATCACTGCCTGGTTCTGGAACAAGCCACAATGCTTTTCACTAGGAGAATATTCCCATGAGGAAACCTCCTTTCTGCTTTGCTTCACTTCAAGAGGAGTGGAGCACATGGCTGACATTCCCTCCTCGTGCTCTTCCCTGATGGTACTTTGCTCCTTTCCGCAGGTCGATTTTGGCTTTGCAAAGAAAATAGGATTTGGAAAGAAAACATGGACTTTTTGTGGAACCCCGGAGTACGTAGCCCCCGAGATCATCCTGAACAAAGGTCACGACATTTCGGCTGACTACTGGTCACTGGGAATCTTAATGTATGAACTCCTGACTGGCAGGTATGGGCATCGGGGCCGGCGCCGCTGCTGAAAATAGATCCAAATATTTCTGCCGTTGTCACCCTGATTAGGCGAGGGGAAGGTTCAGAGCTGGTGTGTGCTGTAGTTTTTCCACTTTAAATCACAGCTTCCGTGCAGACCTCTCAAAGGGCAAGGCATGAGCAGGCTTTTTAGGAAATGCTGCAAAATGACATCAGAAATTAGTTTTTGGCCCCAAGTGAGCTGAACGTGGTGGGGAAAGGGAAGGGGTTTGCAATTCAACTGGGAAGGTGCAGTGATGGGTTACTGCATGTCTGGAAAGGAGATAGACCTGACACCGTGGGGACTTGAGTCCCCATATCCATCCCTTCCCTTATGTAGTTTTGGGTATATATATATATATTACTGCTGATGTTGGCAGTAGCCGCTTCCTGGCACTTCCTTACCTCATGCCCCATCACTCACTCCCAGGATACAGGACCTGGAAAAGGATCCATCACCTCAACCTGCTTATCCTTTGGGGTTAGACCCTGGCCTCTATTCTGTTAAACCAATGGGGATCTAATTAATGCCCACTGAACGCATGTTACAACATCAAACAGGGAATAAGCCATCGAGCGTTCCTCGGGCTGCTGGGACATGGGCCATCATGGAAATGAGAGGTTTAGCACGTGCTACTGCAGAAAACACAACATTCCTCTTTGGAAATTCCCTCCAGCCAGCATCACTGAAATCCAGATGGTATCAGAGCTCCTTGGCTGAGAAGTGGTTAAGGTCACTGAAAGCAAAGCATTGCTAGTTGTTGTCTACCTTTTCTCTTTTCAGTAGGGTGCTACATTTTGCTTTGTTAATTTTTTTTTAATCAGTCTTCAATGCCATTTTAAAGACAAACTTTTAATCTTCTTTATTTTCCTCTCCCCTCTGAAGTCCCCCTTTCTCAGGCCCAGACCCCATGAAGACCTATAACATCATATTAAGGGGAATAGATATGATTGAATTTCCAAAGAAGATTGCCAAAAATGCTGCTAATTTAATTAAAAAACTATGCAGGTAAGTGCATGAAGTATCATCACTTTGATCTTATTTGCAAAGAAATGAATCATTCAGAAGGATTAAGAAACTAACCGATTTGTTACTCGTTTTCTAGGGACAATCCATCAGAAAGATTAGGGAACTTGAAAAACGGAGTGAAAGATATCCAAAAGCACAAGTAAGTGTCTTCTCCACCATCCATCAGATCCAGCCCACAGAAACATTTTCACACATTCAAACACTTCAATTTTCAGCATAAAAATCTTGGTCTTCCCCTTCTAGTGTGCTCTAGACTCTAATTGAATTTCCATCAGACTCTTTTCCCCGCAGCATTTTAGTATAGATGCCAGTCTTGCCAGTGAGAAAAACACATTGCACATTGACCATTACGCTTTAATTACTGTACGGCAGAAGAGCAGTTGGAAGCAATCCAACTCGGCCCCTGCCTGCTTGGAATTTTTTGGTTTGCGGAATCACTTTCCAAGGTTTTCCTCAATTTCCCCTTCCCCCTGCCACACAACACGCTTTCTCTCTACCCGTAATGTTAATTCATCATCTCTTTTGGTCTGATGGGAGAGAGTTGTTAAGTGATCTCTCCTAAGTTTTCACAGAGCTGGAGGGGAATAAGAACAAGTTAGAGACCCGTTGCAGAGGTAGGTTATCTCATCCATCCATGCTGGTCCTTTTCTTCTCCCATCCCCAAAGCAACAGAAATGGGTTGGATGGACAACCATCCAACCTGAGCAACCTGATCTAGTTGAAGACGTCACTACCCTTTAAAAGGTCCCTTCCAACCCAAACCATTCTATGATTCTATGACATTTTGGGGTGGACAGATGGAAGGCTCAGCTCAGGGCTCATCCACCCACCTAAGCTGCCGTAGTCCAAGCAAACCCGAGGTGCCCAAACCGGGAGGAGGACATCCTTGTGCATGCCCTTAGCTCCAATCTCATACAAAGAAAGGACATTAGGGGTCTGTATGGGAGGGACTAGGAAGGAAACAGCAGCTGCCAGGACACCTGCAGTGAGGAACAGTTTTCTTCTGAGCTCTGGTAATTTGTACTTGCCATGGTATGGTCACTGGGTTGCTATACACGCTTCATTTTCAGTACCAAAAAATGTATGTGAAGATGACAGGAAAAATTATTAAGGCTAATTGGACAATTTGAAGAAGATGACTGCAGGAGATGAAACCCACTGTTTAAGCAATTTAAATTTCATTTTGTGCTACGAAGAGATTTGTGACGTATATCTAACTGTTTCATTGCTCCCTCCCTTCTAGATGGTTTGAAGGCTTTAACTGGGAAGGGTTGCGGAAAGGGACACTGACACCTCCTATAATACCAAGTGTAAGTTTTCCTACTTATTTTCTCCTTCCTGGCCAATACATTTTTTTACACGAACATTGTGGTCTTGGGGCACTAATACACTGGAGTTAAGTAGCGACAGCGTGTGCCTTATTTCTTCTGAAGATGCTTGAAGAAGGCATGTTAGAGACATTTCCAGCTATACTTGGTCTCCAGGCAGCCTCTTCCAGGAGAAGGCAGTTTAGGGAGGGCATGACTGCAATGAAATGCTCTTTGCAGCCAGAGGTCGGGGCAGGATCACTCACTACTACACATTTTTCTCTTCCTCACCTGCTCCACTTGTTTCTTCATCTACTTTTCACATTTCAGTGGAGAGCTGCCACTTTCATCCCTTCTCTCAGATGTGTCCTCTTTCTTTCTCTTTTATTCTTATTTCTTTTCACAAAGCAAGTGGGATTTGTATGCCATCTCCCTTTTCCTTTGCGTTACCCTTTCCCTCTGTCTTTTCCCTTTTGTGCTTTTCACCCTTTTTTTCCCGGCGTCCGTGTCCGACATGAAAAGCCCTGTTACTGCCTAGTTTATGTTTAACTGGGAGCAGACGCGGAGGGACAGCTCGACTCATTTTCCTTTGGAGCAAAGCTCTTCCTTTGATGTCTTTGTGAGCTCTTTACCCACAAAGCCTGCCGCAAAGGGAAACCAAACAGGATTAGCTGATAGAAATTACCTTGGCCCCTTCTGTTCTGCAGCCTCCCCTCCTTGTTTCAACTTAATCCCTTTCTCTCCGTGCCTCTCCCGCGGGATCACTGAGAGAATGACATTAGCAATCGTGTTTAATTGCACCCCGTTGCTCCGTCCGCCCGTAGCCCTGCACCTCCTGCAGCAGCGGCAGGCACGGCTCTGGGGCTGAAGCTGCCATCCCAAAGTCTTCTTAGCAGCTATGAAAAAGCAAGAGGGTTTTGTGTCCCCTTTCTGCCCTATGGGCTGCAGAAACTGCTGGTGGTCGGTGGGAGAAAGGCAGGACTTTACAAGTATCTGCCTAAAGCAGGATGCCCAAAGAACGTATAAATGTTTTACAAATCAAAACTGTGTTTTTTCCGTTAAGCTTCTTTTTAATGACTATTAGTCTGTCAGCAGTACTGTTCACCACATTTCAAGTCAGATAATAAAGTCAAGCTTGCTCCTTTACATCCAGTTTCAATTCCTGGTTTACCTGTGCAGGATGTCCGTGTAGGCTGAAAATGTCCCAATGTGTTTTTCTAATTGTTTTTAGTCAATTTTTAGTTTAGTAAGAGCATTTCCAGTACTGCTTTTACCCAATATATGCATGGACCCTGCACAGGTAGGAGTGTAATAGAGATGTTGCATGCCTATCCCTAAGCTAGTACTGGTACGGCAAAAATCTCACCATAGCTCCAAGGAGCTCAAAAAGACTAATGTTTCCTGCTCCTCAGGTGGGATTTTTTTTTTTTTTTTGTAGTTTCAACCTAACTTCAGCATGTCTGTATTGTGTTGTTATTTTATTAACGGAGACTTCTCGGTCACTTTATCTTTTGCATTTTAGAATCATCAGGATCTTCGACATGTAGATGTGGCACGTAGGGATGTGGTTTAGTGATGGACTCGGCAGTGCTAGGTTAACGGGTGGACTCCATGATCTTAAAGGTCTTTTCCAACCTAAATGGTTTTATGATTCTATGTCTAAGCCTCAGACAGCACAACAGGCAGCAGTGACTTCAGCGGTATCTGCTCTCTGTGAGCATGAATTGCTCCCTGACATCCCCAAGCTGGGATGTTGCTCCACCACCAGAAATGGTCTCTGCTCCTTTGGCATTGCCTAGAGGAAGGCTGCACTCCAGCCCATTCTGCAGGAAATCACACGCTCTTTGCTTTTGCAGTTAGGTCCAACGCAGTAGGAGAACAGGGTCGTGTGAGCACCCAGTTCACTTCGTTGGCATTATTTCTTGACATCATCAAGACTGTATGTTCATGGGTCTGGTGACATCCTATGACCAGACAACCATGTCTGTGATTGCTCCCAAGAGAGTGATCTGCTGACACTGTTTTGCCAGCACACCACCACCAAGACTGTCCAAAGACAGGAGCATCCTTCTTTCTTCAGAGGAATCCTTCTTCCAGGGAGACTTCTCAGTGCTGACAGCCATACATTGCCCTTAATTGCAACTCAACACAGATGATTCTTTCCTAGAGCTCTTAGGAGTAATACCTTCTCTAGACATAGTCCTGAGATCCTCTCCAAAACCTGCTTCCATTAACTACTGAACCTTGTCAACCCCAAAACTGTCAGTCCTGCTCAGCCTTGTTTTCCACAAGTTTTTCCATTGCTTTGGCAGAAGTCCCAACTGCCAGTAAGGGCCATAAAGTGACCTAAAATACACAGTTCTGGGAGAAGAAAGCAGGTTCTCCGTCAATCAGTGCACCTCTCCTTGTTCGCTGAAAAGGAGCCAGCAGGACTAAACATAGAGACTAACTTTTTTTTTTTTTTTTTTTTTTTTTTTTTTTAAGAAAAAAAGCCTTCCCCAGCTCTTAAACCCTCATCAAGCAGTTAGATGGTACTACCAGTGAGGCAATGAAAGCTGCTCCTTAGCTCTTACTGCACGGGATTTTAGGAAAGATCTCAATTTACAGCCTGCTGCTAGGGCATTGCTTCAGGGAGTAGCTGAGCCTCGGTACCACAGCTTAAATCTGTGATGGTAGCTGTCCTGAAAAGCTTCTCCTATTTCTTGACTCTTCCAAAGACTTGTGGCTTGCATCACAGCTCTTGCTTTTCAGAATGACATGCAAATCTCCGCGCCATAATCCATCTCAAACCCCTGTGTTGGTAGAGCAATCAGAAAGTTGATACCGATCTTTGCACTTTATGTTCTTGGATGGACAGAAGATAAATCTGAGGACATTGAGAGGGACATTTGCTCCTACATCTCTGACAGTGAAGGACTGCAGGCCACGTAGGTGACCTAGACCTCAGAGCTGTATGGAATCACACATAACAGCATTAGCATCACAAGATGTCAATCAGCAGAGTAGTAACTCATCCAACCTTTTTTCCTCAAATCATATTTCTTCTAAGAAAAAGAAAACCCTCAACATTTGAGATGTTGAATATACTCAGCCTTTTTATTTTGTCAGACAAACATAAAAGGCAATCTGTTTCCCAAAGCAGGACTTACTTCCCTTAAAGCCTCATCTAACCAGAGCTCAAAAAACAGTGCCTGCACTGCTAGGTGCTCGCAGAGCATACATCTGCAGAGGAGCCCCGGGAAGCTCCATAGGTGCTTTCACCCAGTGCTTTCACTTACGCACTGTCCATCACCGCTGAGAGGCTTTCGCAAGACGCTCCAGCTCATGCGTGTCCTCCGTGAACGGCCACACCGACTGCATCTCTTACACTTTGGTAGCTGCTATCTTGTACATACATCCCCGATGCTTCTGCTCCTGGAAGGAGAGCTCACATAGGGTGGGCTGAGAAAAACAGAGAGATGTGGTCCGGCCCATGGGACTGTGGAGGAGGCTGCGTGTGGAGTACAGCAAGGGTGAGGACCTGAAGAGCGAAGGCTCTCCAACTCAACAGTGCCAGCACCAACAAAGTAAACAGATCCAGAAAACTTGAAATGAAATTATAGTGTTCAGTACACAGTGAAGCATCTCATCACTCTGTAGTACTCCACTAAGCTTTTAGATCAAAATTAGTTGGGTATTCAAGAATCTTAATTTTCCCCAAGATGTTTTCAGCAGCAGGAAAATGCTGATGCAGCTGGGCAGCAAATTAAATTTAGAGCTGAAGTTGGAGCTCTTATTGATCAAATAGTCTTTTCCCAAGGCTTATAGCAGCATCCAGCATCAAATACATCTCCTGGACTGCAGGCTGGGCTCCGGCCATGCCTTCTCTACCAGCTGCACACGTGAAGCAGATAAAAAACACAGCAAGTGTTTCCTCCTAAGGCAAGTGCGGTCCCCTCCAGCCTGCACTGGCTACTTAGAGTATGGCTTAAAGTACCAATTTTCTCTAGTAAGAGACTGATTATTTTGGTCTGGAGAGCTGCTGGTCTGTTTTTGTATTGTTTCATCTTTTTAAATTGCATTGAATGTATCAGGGTCTCTATAAGAAAGTTTCAGTCATCCTTGTAAAGCAAAAAAAAGTAGACATTATCTAGCTACGGTAGATTTTAATTAACATTATTTCCAAAAAAGAAACATACTTGGCCTTCATCCTAGGAAGATGGGGTTCTCTGGTAGGCTCCCTAGACTGAGCAATACTTGTCAGGAAACTCGAAGGCGGCAGGCCCCAGCTCACAGCCTCAAATTCAGGATCCTGGAGCCATAAATTGGAAATCCTGGGCTTTGAGGAGGCCCAGGGCTTTTCCAAGTCTTTTCTGATGACCTTGTACCAACGGGTAGGACAGTTGCTCTTGAACTAGAGACCCTAGAGGGCCTGGATCATTAGAGTAGGGGGACTGTGGGAAGTCCTCCTGGGATTCAGCAAGAAGTTGTGGAATGTAGAACTTTTCTGGCTTGCTGCCATTAGCAGTGAATGCTTTTGAGTGATCACGGTTGTGAGATGGAGAGGAAGTGTCTGCAGAGGTCCACTTTGATGACCGTCCCCTTCTTGTCACTCTCTTCTTTCCACAGGTTGCATCTCCAACAGACACAAGCAATTTTGACAGCTTCCCAGAGGATAGTGACGAACCACCCCCTGACGACAACTCAGGATGGGACATAGATTTTTAATGTATTTCTTTTACCTGCTTCTGCCTTGCTGAAGACAGCTTCCTGGGACATGGCTGCCAGCGAAACCGAAAGAATTGGGGAGAATTAGTGCTCGGGGTCACCATGATGCCTTGATTGATGCTGCTACAGTAACTACAGTGGCATTAGGACTTATTGCTTAGATGACAATAGTGCTCTTCATGTTTTATGTTCAAACTTAAAATAGCAGTTGACATGGTGGTCCTGAGGCAGAGCCTTTCGCCAGTAAAGAAATACGTTTTCTATCACCGCGACAATCTTGCTACGCTCTTAATTCTAAAAGTCGAGAGATACGTAGTGTAAGACACACTTAATTCAAGGTACTGGCTTTATCGGTAGGATCAATAGTAATTTATTAAGTGTTGTAGCTAAATACAGTGCAGGATTTGGGCTACTCCCACCCTCCAAACTCTGTAGGTCTCCTGCTGTAGGCCAGTGTAGGAGCAGAGGACGACCACAACGGTACTGGTCAAAGAGTTCACGTCAAAGCAGTGGTGAAACTTGTCCTTCTTTCTGAGCAGTATTCTTGACAAGACTGAATGTTACCTTTCCTCTTTCTTTCTGAGAAATTGTTTTTTAGCCTGGTAAAACAAAAGCACAACTGCTCTAGATCCTGTTAAGGCAGATATGGGTCGCTTCTCTCATACAGCTGAGAACATCCTGTAACATGACGTTTGGGGTTTTTTTTTCCTTTCCCTTGGTAGAAATACATAACTGCATGAAAAAAAAAATCATAAAATTAATCCATTTTACATATAAAATAGTGCTTAAATAATGGTCCTGTAATAAAGTGACAGCAGCCCGATGGTCTTATTGATTAGCTATTAGGCATAAAACTAAGCTTAATTTTTACCTTTTTAGAACCCAAAGGGAAGACATAAGACCCGTAATGTACTTTATAGGTGCTATGTACATCCTTCATCTCTGAATATAAATGGAGTCAACCACCATTTCAGAAATATGTAGCAACAGGCATCGTTCTCCAACACGCTCATAGATGGTTTTACGTCTCCATGTCTGCATCTGTTCCATGTTTAGTCCAAAACTAATTAAAGTAAAAGGCGGTACAGGGCCAGTTTGCTGGCTCTGTTTGTAATATTGCCCATAAAATTGTAATCCTAATGCTAATGCCTTGCCAGGCGAAGAAGCTCCACAGGAAAGTCAGTGGGATTAAATGGAAAACCAATATTGGATGTGTTTTTGTGAGGTCTCCGTGTCTCTGGTGTACCAGGTCCCCGGTGACCGTGGTTTAAGGCCCCAAGTCAGCTCATACGAAAAAAAGAGCTGGGGAAAACAGTATTATTGCGTGTACACGTTTTTCCCCTCACTTCCACTGCTTTTCCTTTGCTTTAGCGCAGCCTCTTCTGATTTGTAGGACGTAACAGAGGAATCCTGTCCTGGATGCCTGCTTGTTGCATATGCATGGGACTAAAAGTTTATTGGCCTTCACTCTCTATGACAGACCCTGCCCAAAAAATTTGCAGATGCTGCCCCATTTCATCACAGAGCTGCCAAGAGCTGTTGTATACGCTGGAAATCGAAAGATGAACTTTTGCTCAAAAGTTTTACCTATGTAATACATGGAAAATGTTATGTTTTAACAGTAAAAAATTATTGATGGGATCTGATGCTAGATCCCAACTCCTTCCCGTGTTCCTAACGAAAGCGACTTAATAGAGTGTATTAAAAAGATATTTCCTCCCCTTCTTTGACGGCATCAGCAATGTCTGCTGTTTGCCAGCGAACTAAAGAGCTCGGTCATCGCGTCCCCTTCGAAACCAGTCTGTGTCGCTGAATTTGCTCCCTAGTTTTCCGAAGGGCGAGGCAACACTGTCGGCACAATAACTTCAGGTTATTTCCGCTATTCACTAATCATTAAAACTTGTTTGCCTTGAACACCATAGGGAAAAGACAGTAACTAGGCCTACCAGGAATTACTCATGCAGGGCAAATAACACGCTGGCTTTGCAGCCTTTCTCTGAGGGTTGGCAAACACCGAAAGCCAGTGCTGAATACTAGGGCTAAAATAATCACTAGGCATCTTAGCAAACAGGCTACTGCCTAGAAGCCGAGTCCTTCACTCACATCCCCCTGGTTTTTCACTCGACGGATGCGGTGACATTGGAGGAGAAAACTTGTTGCATTTGTTGAGTTTCTATAGAAGAACGTAGAGAGGAGTTTGTCCCAAAGTTGCCGTACTCAGTAGCCGAGATGCAGTTGTCAGTCAAGGGGTTGCCGGGAGGAAAGAGCATCACGATGATTTTGGGGGGCAACCCAAAAACGTTACAGGAAGAAAGTGTTAAAATGGGCTGATGAGTTATTTTTCTTTCTTCCTATCCCTTTTTCCTTGTGCCACGCACGGTAATTAATACCTGCAGCGTGCGGCATGCACTGTACCGAATGTAAGTTTATTTTGATAGCAAACACCTCACTCGACTTTCATCACCTTCCCTAAGCATACTTTAAACAACATACTTAGCATATGTATATGATAAACGCCTTCATTTATAAGTAATATATTTGAGTTGCATTATATATATATATATTCACAGCAACGGATTGACTCTGTGTTTCCACTTACTGTCCTTTCTTCTTTCTCTAATACATGGGACGACGGCGTATTTACGTAAGGGGAAATAAGCTCCCATATTTAAAGTGAGTGTATTAAGATTGGTGTCGTTAAGACACGGACGATCCGTAGCTTCTCACAGTGCTGCATTATCCATAGCAAACTCTTATTTAAAACAACAGGACCACGAGCGAATATTTATGTAAATAGGTATTTTCGTGTTGATATTTTGTGGTACACATATAACTTTTTCTTTTAGAGTTCCATGGCATTATTACTTCATTTTCTTATTTGTAGTGTAATGTTTTTAGATCAAGGTAGACTTGAATTAATGTCATAATTGTCAGTATTATTAAACTTTACGTCAACTGTACTGTTAACTCATCTGTCCCATAGTTCTAGAACATGACTAGCTATCTGGCATTGTTGCAAGTGCCTTAAATCCATGGCATCTTATAAAAAAAAAATTACAAATTTGGTGTTATGCTGCATGACAAAGACAAACACACCTCAAAATGTCGTCCTTTCTTAGCTTGCTGCGTTTTACAGTTCTTTCTGCTACCAATTTCTAAGCCTTTATTATATAATACTGATGAATTACAGAAATGATGAAGTCGTTCTCTTATTTCTGTTCAATGTACCAGAGCTGTGTATCTGTTGATGAGATACAGAGTCATTTCTGTGAAATGTATAAATGTTATGTGCGGGTCAAATTAATATATGACATCCTATCAGTCCGTAGACAGGTATTCCTGTTTTGCTAAGCTGTGCAGATTCAACCCATCGTGCCGTCCAGCGCCAACCTCCCGTCTTACACAAATACAAACCCCGTTAGAAATCTCCCGACCGGAAAAAACGACAAGCGACGCGGTACACAACTTGACCTGCGTTTTTTTGACCTGAAACCCCGACGCAAAAGCGTAGCGGGTTTGCACCACTCAACAAAACAGGATCCGTGCTTTTCCCCCCTCCCCGACTCCTTCTATATGCAGCCCACCGTGGAGGCGAGCCCTCCAGCATGGAAAGCCGGAGGAAGCTCCTCGTCCTCCGCAGCTCCCCGGCCGCGTAACCCAGGTGAGACGCTGAGACTTGGGCGGGTTTAGGGCTTTACCGGCAAAAGGGGAAATTCTCGTTTGGAGTTGCCTATCGTCCCGAGTCCCAACTTGCGCTGTTTTTACACTGGCCCTTTGGTTTTTATTCTTACTTTCTCCAGTTTTCTTCTTTCATGAAAGAGGTTTTGTTTGTCGGACAAATGTCGGTCATCCACCGGTTGTCGGCCGGTTGCACTCTTTTGATGTAGATTTAAGAACTTTTTTTCATAAACTTTAACTGCTTTTGTTTTGCTCTGTATTTTCCCTGCAGCTGTAATTGCCGAGTGCCTGTTGTATACTTTATAGAGTTGAAATAAAAATAATTACTTTTGAACAGCGTGTTGACATCTTTCTTCCACGGCAGAAGCTGAGCGCGGGAGAGTGCTGCTGCTTAGCAATTAAATTGGGTATTTTATTCTCGTTTATCATGGTACGCAGTAAGAGATTATCAAACAAAATGTACGATACTTGTAGATTAGTACCGGGGTCCCAGCTTGTATCTTCACCTGGATTTTCTGCAGGATGTGAAGGCGAATGGCCACAGTTACTGGACTTCAGTGCTTATCTGAGCACTGGCATCGCCCCGAGCAGCCTGGCCGAAGGGGTCCGAGGCCGATGGGGGTCCTGCTCCCCAATTTGTTTCCAACCCAAATTATTCTGTGAGCATGCTAAGCCATAAGCACATTTACAGCATCTTTACTCCTCAAGGATGAAGAATTCACTTTATATTTTGATGGCTGCCAATTTAAGCGAGTCCAGGGCACGCAGATGGGAAGGGACAGCATTTCCAACGCAAGCTGCATCATCCCTAGACAGGATGCAACTGCCAACGGCACCTGTGTCAAAAAACACTGGTGTCCTCCTCGTCACTGTCCCTTACAGTTAGTGCCAAGCGGTGGCGACGCGGCAGCACAGCCATGCGATGTCATGCAGACATCACCGCTGCACACAGGGATGACGCCGACATTTTGCAGCATGCGGCATGTTGAGGCTCTGCCTGTACCAGTGGGTTTAAATCCATCCCTGGGAAACTGCTCAGTCCCCCGTGTGACACAACTGTCTTTAAATCCTCAGTAAGGTCAAGGTTAAGAGTGTGCTTCAGTGCTATGCGGGCACAGAGAGGGGTCAAGACTGGGGAAAGGTTTGATGGACTCTCTTGTGTTTGTGTCCGTTGTTTCTTGCCCTGTCACTGGGCACCAAATGTCTTCTTTACACCCTCCCGTCAGGTATTTGTAGACACTCATAAGGTCCCCCTCAGCCTTCTCTCCTCCAGGCTGAGCAGTCCCAGCTCTCTCAGCCTGACCTTGTATGTGAGATGCTCCAGTCCCTTCACGATCTTAGCGGCCCTTTTCTGGGCTCTCTCCAGTAGTTCCACATATCCCCAGCACTGGGGATCCCAGCACTGGACCCAGCACTCCAGAGGCGGCCTTGCCGATTCTGAGTGGAGGGAAGGATCACCTCCCTCGACCTGCTGGCTCTTCCTAAGGCAGACCTGGGAGCTTTTTTCTTTTAATCTGTATCCCCATGCTCCTCTGCTGTCAGAGCCGCTGCGTTCCCCTGCACGGCCCCCAGAAGAATGACAGCACGGCTTGTAAAACAGGCAGAAACGACAGAAATCTTCCGAAG